GAATGTTTGTCGATAGACATCGCCCTGATTCTTGTCGATGCTGCACACTTTGGCATGCGGGCAGTCTAATGGATCAATGCGTGCGGATTGAGAAGGCGTGTATTGGAGCATGGCAGTTCAACAAGATGACGTCAAGGGAGCAAGAAGTGGAAGGAAAAGCGGGTCATGTTCAGAAGAGGATGGGCAGCAAGCCGGTACAGCAAGCATGTGGGTTCAGAAGGCGACCGGCACCTTGATTCTAGTACTTCTTCGGGAAGATGTTGAACAGCCTGTGGAGTCGTAACGCAGGATGTCAGCTCAGGTAAGTTCCATGAAGGTGGTTTCGGGCAATGAACTTACTTCTTGATCTTTGACCAAGGGCTGGTCTTGAGCGGCTTGCTGAGGAATTGCCCCATCGTCTTGTGAGGCTGTAGGCGTTCGTACGGGTTGCCTGGCACCGGGGCGGCCGAAGCGGGCTGAGCCAGCAGAGAGGCTAGTGCAAAGAGCGCAACAAGCAGCAGCACAGTGCGAGAAGAGCGAGCGATCTGGACCATGATTGAAGTAATGACTGTGATTAAGCTGTGGAGATGTAGAGCGATACGAAACGCAACAAGTTGTGCGTGAGAATGTCTTGAACTTATACCCTTCAAGCAGGCTCTCCAAGAGCCCTTCCTCTCTTCACTCCCAATTCAGGCACGATGGGCTTGAAGATCATCTCTGACCTCAGAACAGTGGAAGCAAACAAATTTGGTGGAACAATAGTCGATGTGGGTGCAGTCAACATCGCCCTACTCGATCTTTGTGGCTCATTGGTCCGGCTCAGACGTATCTATGAGCTCTCTAGGCTACTCTCACCTTGGCAGACTCGTCCAATTGTCGTCCCGGGGACCGCCATCGACCATCTCAAGCTTCATGACTCGTACGGTCCCAGACCATACCAGCGAATCGGTTTGACAGGCACCATGTTCCGGTTTTCTTTTTCTTTCTTTATTGGTTTTGGACCTTCATTTTCAGTCCTTTTTTCTAGGAGTAGCCTCCACATGAATTTAATTTGGCGGGTGGAGGCGCATTGGGCCGAGCGCACAGACATCAGCAGAGGGCTGAGTCGAGCTGCAGTGTCATCACTCTCACCGCCACCATCGGTGTACAAGACAGCCTTGATACTGCCACCCACCGGCAAGCAGCGATGGACCACCCCAGCACCAACGTACAAGCCTCCACGGCGCCCAAGAGTGGCTTCCACCAAGCGGCATCGTTCGTGGAGCGCGCGCTCAGCTTCCGCACCAACGCGCAGCGTTCGTCCGCCCCCACCTCAGGTCCCAACGAAGCAAGCTCATCTGCAGCTCCAACAAAGCCCACGATACGCTCAGCCCTTTCAGCCTCCGATCTGAAGCGGATCGACAGCTTTCCTGCCGTCCCGGACGAGCAGATTCAGCGGCTGTTGCCCGGCGAGGATCTCCAAGACGCCAGAGAGTGGGTGCGCGCAGCGCTGCAGGAGATGCATCTCAATTTCGACCTGGACCCCAAGCTACTAGGAGAGCACAGCGATGCGAACCGTGGCAACGCGCTGCTTGCTCTTCTTCTCTCGCGCATCGTTGTCACCGCTCCCGACTCGGCTGGCGGCGCAGACGGCAGAGAGCCAGGCCACCTCTCCGGTGCAGTTGTGGACCAAGAAGGTCGGGCCGCGAAAGGGGAAGCATCTTCCGAGGCATTCAAATCGAAATCAGCTGGAGTAGCACCGCCACGGGAGTATGAGACGCACGACCTGCTCAAGGCGATCGATAAAAAGGACGTCGAGACGATCCTCGCCATCCGCAACGCCAACTTTGATCTGCTGCTTGACCTGTCTCAAGGAGGCAGCAAGACGAAGACTTCTGCGGCAGCAGCGCAGGCAGGTGGATCTACCAATACTCCGCTAGGCTACGCCATCTCTCTGGGCAAAGGCTGGGAGAGCGTATCGATCGTTCTGGTCGGTGCGCTGTCAAAGTTTGTCAACCAGCTGCCGGACGATGAGGACGAGTACGAGAATGCGTCTGGTTCGGGCGCGATTGGGGCGCAGGTGACCAAGGTCAAGAAGCCCAAGAAGCTGCAATTAGATCCGAGGACCATGGCACGGCTGCGCAAGGTGCGTGTCAACCTCAAGCTTGCGATTGACCACAGCATTTTCCAGGACCAGACGTCGCTGCTTGCGTCGTATCTGCAGGTGCTCGTCATGTCCGAGGGCTCGCCGTTCCTGCATTCGGCCATCGAGGACGTGGCACACTGTCTTGCTGCGCGCTATTCGGCTGCGGCGTTAGCAGACGGTGGTGCAGATCCCGTCGCACGCGCCAGGTCTCAGGTGATGCAGTTTGTGACCGACTCGCTGCGCCACAAGACCGACAAGGTCGCAGCGGTAAAGGACTACGTGGCGAATGCTCAGTCGGATCTGCTGCTCATGTCGCTGTGGTCGCTCGTCAAGCTCAGAGGCTCGCAGATGGAGGCAGCGCAGAAGAGCGTGGGGTCCGAAAACGAGCTGGTCGACCTGGGCAATCCGCTGCCGATGTACTTTTTCGCACGCGACGACCGCGTCGCATCGCACTTTGTTGCCCGGGTCACCAGCCTGCAGCATGTGACGGGCGATGCCGCTCCGACTTCGCTGGTCAAGGTCGCAATACGCGTTGCAGAGGCACTTACGCAAGGCGCGAGGAGGAAGTCGTCCCACGAACGCCTTCAGATCATAGACGCCGCGCTCAGCCCCACGAAGCCTCGCACAAAGTAGCTCTCAGCTTGTATACATATACCCTCACCACCTTGCACGGAATGTATGGCGATTTCTTGCCGTGATCTAGACTGCCGCGCGGCGAGTTCCGTGCGCTGCGACGGCGAGAGCCATATCGCGATCTCGCTGCTCGGCCGCCTTTTTCTGGCCATCTCGCTGCTGTTGCGCCAGTTGCTGCACGGCCTCGTACTCTGCATGCAATCTGTCTTTGGCAGCTGCGAGTTCGAGCTTACTGTGCGTGAGGATGCGCGACTGGGCGGCGAGGGCGGCCTTTTCGGCATCGAGCGCGAGCTCACACAGGTTGGACCAGTCGATATGCCTCCTGCATTTGCGCTTCACCGTTGCGCAGACGACGGCGTTCGGGCCAGCAGGGTCGTCCAACTCGCCATCTAGCGGCGCTTCGTGCGCGAGCATGGAACGGCCCGGGTCGGTGTGCGCCCAGGCATCGAAATCAGGATCGTCCCAGTGAAGCCTTTGATCGTACCCGCAGAGCGGACCTGAGCCTGCATCAGCGTCCTTGCTCCGTCCCTTTGTGGTTTTCTTCTTCTTGGTTTTCGAGCGCGCTTCGTCCGGCATCTCTTCGTCCTCGGCTGCGTCCGTGGCCTCGGGTGCGGAGGTGGATGGCGCGGCGACGAGCGTGGGGACGCGGTCCGAGACGAGATGCAGAAGCGTACTGCGCAGGTCGAGGCGG